CAGGTCCGACGTACCGTACTATGGGCACGCAGGTGACTGTAATACACTGGACATACTTGCAATGCCACGTATCTTAAGACGTAACGTCACACGGTGTACGGTAGCATGGCGCACGGGACGAGAGCTGCAGCGAATCCCTGACACACGTCCTGGTGACCATTTTCCTTTTCTTGTTGACTTGTCTTATCACCTTCATTTGGCCCCGCTGGCAAGCTCTCCCAGGCTCTCCAGCGCGGGATCGGCCGCAAGGAGTTCCACCATGAGCTGGAGAGGGAGATGAAGGGGGAGGGAGGGGAGCTGCGGGAGTTGAGGGAGGACGCGCACACTGATCACCATTATCAACGTTGGTTGGACATATTACGCGCGCTTGCTATTAAACATTTCTCGGCTAGCAGCACGCGCGACACAGCACGACGCCGGCTGAGTTTAGAAAGGGTTCGGCTTACTAAGCAGCGTCAAGCCTAGCGGTGGGAGGCCCACGTGTTTTGGGAGAGGTATCGATGCGTTCCTGGATTTACTGAGGCACGCCTTGAATGTCTGGCACAGTTGAAGCGCATCACTTACTCCCTACGTCGTCGACGCCGAGTCGCTCTTGCTCGTCGTCGGCAAGACGTTGTTGAGATATTAAAAGAAGCTAGGCAACGCCAGGACCAGGCAAAGGTTTATCGACTCGCCCGGGTACTTTCGGGACGTTCTCTTCGGGAGAAGAATCGACTTCGCAGCCATCTTCCAGGATACCGACCAAACCTCCAAGAACTTCAGGAGCAGGTCTGCCGGCTAGGGTGTGAGGGAGGGATGAACGCAACCTGCTATCCAGAGTATGCTAAGATGGTGCAGGGCTGCTTGAGAGACGAAGTGGGCGCAGGTGCACTACAATGCAGCAACAAGATAGAGACCACAGCCGAAGTATTGGTGGAAAGGTTGATCTCCAAAATGCGTCGCGGTCATAAACGGCGGAGCACAACGAATTGGTCAGTACCAGTCGAAGTTGCCTTGATCGTTCTCGACCCGGGGCACCTTTCTCGAAGTAGGTACCAGAAGTTCGGAACCGGATACGAGACGAACGCTCCAGTCCAGGACTTGAGTCACAACTTGTCTTTCTTCCGCTCCTGGGACCTAGAGGAGGAGCCCGACTCTCAGCCATATCGATCAGTAGAAATACCTTCTAGAGCTGGCGAGCATGTGCGAAGCCTCTGACGCGTGCTTCTGACGGTCGCGACCACCGTCTCGCATCATCGGACACGTTGAAGGCGGCGAGGTCAGAGTTTATCGAGATTCATATACACTCTATGCGCGTGGAGCAACTCCCTACATGTTCTAGCGTCACGGAAGGGTTTTTTCTAAAACAAACACAGTGGCAAGGAGAAGATGGGAGGGCTTCGCACGTTTCACTTAGCTAACACTTTCTAAAAGACTTATTACAGCGTCATCTATTTTTGGGGCAATAAGAAACACGGGTACTCACGGAATTTCGCTAGCAGGTGGCACGGTTTTGTCCCACGCCGTCGACGCGAAGGCGCAATTCTTGTCCAACAACGAGTAGGATGGACTTTACGTAGACCAAACATCCCGCACTTGAATGACTTGCATGGCTTAACCGACGCGTTCATGTGTCCACACCAAGATGAACTTCGTAACTTGTACCCGTTGATGCCACGCGAAGACCTACATGTATTAGCTGAACAACGTCTCGTCAATAGTGTAGTTGTTTTTGCCCTGGAGGGGACCCAACAACATGTCATGACGAAGCACGGTGGGCCCCAAGGTTCTGGAGAGGCTCCTCAGCAGTTTGTGGGCGTCTTCGATAAGTGCGTTGGTGAGATTATAGAGTTGCCCGCGCATGTCCCCCTTCATGCTTCATGCTCACATGCGGGGGTGGAGGTTCGGCGGCTACATATTGCTCTCTTAGCGGTTCTGCAGATGATTTCTTTCGTAAACGACTCAATGATGTCACAAATGTACAGGGCGTTCTAGCACAAATCCTTGGCGGTGATGAAGACATGCATTCGGTACTGGGGAAGTGGGGCTTCGCAGGGAACATGAACAAGACAAATATCGTTCCTTTTCTTTGCCCTGATCGATTGAACAATCAACTTCAGTAGCTTTGCCTACAGGAGCGAGGTTGCGTTCGCCCACACGCGCGCCATGTGGGAGAACGTTATAGCATGCGGGGCCAAACCACCTTCGAAGTAGGCAACCGCATACGGGCTATTAACCGAGGATGGGCTCTACTGGGCCGATTTTGGAGCGAGCACGGACTTCGACGTCCTAAGCGTGAAGTTTACTTGGGTGTGGTTGTAAGGGGGTGGTGTCACAGGCATGGAGGCATATGTGTTACGAGCGTCGGAGCACCAACGTATCGACTCGGCAGTAGCCAACTACCTCAGAATATTAATGCGGGGTTTGGCCACTACCACATTTGACTCAAAATGACATCTTCGCCCAGACGCCATCCCTTGGGCTCTCCAGCTGGCCATGGATCTAGAGATGTACCGAGGAATCAGTGGAACGGAGTCCTTCTTTGAACAATTACAAGATATGAACGATTCATGGTTTTCTATTTTCGAGGACAACTCAGAGCCCGCGCGTGAGTTTCTTCGGATTGACCCCAGTATTCTGCGAGCCGCTGCTTTTACAACAAAACTAACATGGGCTAGACTTGTTCGACAAAACATTCTTTATGATGATGGAGACTTTGAAGACAAGTTTCTATGTGGATGGGTAGTGGATGGAGGGAGTACATGTACATGCACATTCAATACATACGCACAACTGCTAGGACATCGCTCTCACGGACATGGGGAACGTTCTGCATCTGCTACTATTGTCACCAACCAGTGCCCTAACTGCTCGAGTACCTTCACGTCCGTCGACATCGCGTGATCACATATTCGTCGAGCATAGAGGCACAATTTATCAGGCTCAATTTCAACTTCCATATCTGCGAGTCACATCTACCACATCCATTACCTCGGCTTACTGATGTTACTGCCACCGACAGCCGGCGCGGCGGCCACGGCCGCGGGAGCGGCCCCTCCTCGAGATGCACGCCAAAGACGACGTCTCGAGGACGACACGGGAGAGGAGCAGCGGACCCGTCACATCGAGCAGTGCCGCAAGGATAATTATCCAAAAAGGCCAGAAGCTTCTCATCGTTCTCATGGTCAAACACTTGCTCCGCCTCTCCCAACAGAATCGCGAGATCATGGGCTGCGTATTCGACACCTTCTTGCTTCCAGCCGCTTGCAGCATCATTTTCCGGAGCTAAGAGCAGACGGCCAGGTACGCGGAGGCAGTGAAAGTCAAGGGTCAGGCAGACAAGCTGGGCCCGCCGCACATATGGGCGATGGGGGGAGCTCTCTCAGCCTTGAAAGAGAATGGCGACACGATCGGGACGCAGACGGCCAAGGACTTGAATCAATCAATCTCGGAAATGGAGACTTGGACTGTAGACCAGAAGTGCGAGCTCATCATGTTTTGCAAAATCGACAAGACGTACCAAAAGGACACCAAGAGGCTCACAGTATGCTTTCGGAGCCCACATGTTCGCTTGATCATTGTAGCAGCGCTCTCCCAGGTCCCAGATGTTCGGAGGAAGCGCGGCAAAACACCGCCGACGTTCATGGAGAGGGAGCTCCAGGCATGGGTAGAGGGGCTGTTGGAGGATCCGCAGAAGAAAGGCCAGTAGCATCATACATAACATTGAACATGTAGTGAGCATCACGCAGCATACTTCCCGACCGTCCCCTTGTATAGGACGTCTTCGAATAGCGCACGTGCGAGGGAGGAGGCCCACAGATGGTACCACTCGAAGTACACGCATATGCATGCTAGCAAGCTGTAGTGTGCAGCATTCCCGTGCATTTTTTTCCGCACCCCTCGTCGTCGTCGTCATCGTCGTCGTCGTCGTCTTCGCTGCTCTCTGCGCTGCTGTCGTTTCCCTCGTCGCCTCGTCTTCCCCTCCCTGCTCTCCTTTTCTCCCCTTCTCCGTGGCCTCCGCCCTCGTCCTCTCCCCCGCTTCGGCGGGCCGTCCTCTCCGTCGTCGTCGTCGTCGTCGTCGTCGTCTCGTCTCGTCTCGTCTCGTCTCGTCGTCGTCGTCTTCGCCGTCGTTCCCCCCCGCTCCGAGGGATGCAGGATCGCTGCGGGAGAATTGCTCCCCGCGGATCCCCCATGCGTCGGGGTCCGCTTGGGCGAGCCTGGAGCCGCGATGGCTCTGGTGGTGCCGCCCTGTGCCCAGCGGCCCGCTCGCTGGACACGTTCCTCACCGAGGCTCGCCGTGCCGCGAGGTTCGAGTATTTGGGATAATCCCATATCCTCGAATTGATTTTGCTCTTTCGAGTTTCTCAGCGAGATTCGATGACTTATGAGAGATCGGCACTTCAGGTGGCAGTCCAGTCCAATCCTTCCTCCTCCTCCTCCTCCTCCTCCTTCTCTTTCTCCACCTCCTCGTCCTCCTCCTCCTCCTCTTTCCCTCCTCCTCGTCCTCCTCCTCCTCCTCCTTTCCTCGGTTCCTGGCCTCGCGCTCCGCCATCCTGCCGGATCGAACTTCCCTCTGTCTCCACCGGGGGAAGGAGTGGGGGAGAGAGGAGGTGGAGGATCGAGACGCGGAGGCGCAGGGCAGGGGAGGGGGGAGGGGGAACAGGCGGGGCCTCCCGAATGGAGTCCGAGCAGACAGGGTCGGGCGATCGCGCTGCGTCGCCGATGCACTGCCGACCCATCGGCGATGCATCGGCGACGCGTCGGCGCTGCCTCGGCGACGCCGGCGTTGAGAACATCCTCCTTAAGACGACGCGAAGATCGGGACAAAATCGGATCGGGACAACTCGAAATCTCTGAGAATCGGCGGGTTTGGAGGATGTATTGGGCGCCGCGGCCGCTCCAGAGCGTTCGGGAACGCTCTGAGAGCGCTCCGGAACACTCTGGAGCGATTTATCCCCGATCCTAGCCCTGTTTTACTCCTGGTCCCGGCCGCCTCTGCCCGGGCCCTGCTGTCCCCGCGCCTGGCCCTTCTGCTTCTGCTCCGCGGAAGGCCGGCCCCACCACGCCCTGCGGCCGGGCGCGGGCGAGCACGGCGAGAGGGAGCAGGAGCGGCCGGAGCCTGTGCAGCCATCGTGCTGCCAGTAGGAGCGCCGAAGAAGCAACGATTATTTTTCCTATTATCTGTATATATATATATATACATATATATATATGTATATATATATGTATAAATATATATGAGTATATATATATGTATATATATATATATATATATGTGTTACGTTTTTGTTTCTTTTTTTCTGTTGGCCTCGGGGGGTCCCGGCCACGATTTGGATCCCCGACCTCGACCCGAGGGGCGGGCGGGAAGCCACAGCCTCTCCCGAGCCCTCTGTCTCAGCGTCCTGGCCGTCCGATCGTCTGAGCTGTGTCAGCACCTGGCGGATGGCCGGGCCACGTTCGCATGCCGCTGCGACGACGGTGGTCACAATGGATGACTCTCGCGCGGCGGAGTCTTGGACTGGATGGGGCTGGCTCGATTATGCTGCCTCATGGGAGTTGGGTGCAAGCAAAATGGCTGGGGGGGGAGGGCGTGGGGGGGACTGCTGACAGCATGGAAGCTGGTATGAACTTGGCGCTACCCCGCTGATGAATTTCCATTGCCTAGTGGCTCGCCCAAGACAACCTCAGGCTACAGACAAGCTGGAGCTCATAACAAGCCGAAACCACTCTGCGTAGCAAAAGGACGGACCGTCAAATGCAAAGGCGGCACGCAGCTGTCATTGTATTATCTTGCTTTGCTTCAGCTTGTTCTGTCTTGCTTCGCGTTGCTTTGCAATGCAACACACTATGATGGAGTATCTTGAACTGCGGTGCCTTTAATTGTTTTGATGATGTGCATTGCGGTGCTGTGCTGTGCTTTCTGCGACGTTCGTTGCCTCGCTTTGCTGTGCTGTGGCCTATATTTCCATGGACGCCGATTAATTTTTCATTTTTTGCCGGTTAATGTCGTACTCTGCATGGGCTGTACAACGCACCGCATCCAATGTGCATTGTCGTGCCGTCCTTTGGGCTGTCTCCTTTCGACCGCGCTGCGACGAATTCTACTGCATAGCGTTGCACCGCCTGGCGTTGTTACTTTCGAAAGGATGGAAGTCGTCGAAGAGCTCGGAAGTATCCGCGACGACCTCCTAGCGGGGCTCATCTACCCAAGAACCCTGTCGGGAGATACCACTGCCGCGGGTCCTCTTTGCACGGAGGAACTGAGGATCCTTATGGCAAAGCCTCGTTGTGGACCGAGTAAAACTGCTGTTGATCAAACATGATGCCATCGCGTAGCCCCCCAAGTGATTACAATTCCCTTGCCGTTCGGGACCCGCGCGACTGGGACAAGCGAAGCGAGGCCGAATCTTTCTGGGCCAGGCTGGGCTGGGTGGGTTCAAGAAAAGCATGCCCCAGGCAGGCGAAGACAAGGAACGCCAGCTTCGCTAACTCAGACAAGCAATGCCCAACTGAGCTGAACCAGGTTGGGCCGAACCGAACCCAGCCAGGCCAAGCCACGGCAGGTTGCGCGAAGCTAGGCTGACTTACAAGAGCCAGGATGGGCTAAACTAGCGTTTTTATGGGAGAAGAAGGAAGTAAAAGAAATGGACGACCGCAACACCTCTCGAACACCTCGCGAGTATGCCGTGCACTCCATGGCCACCGCGGCAGAGACTAACCTGTGGCTTAATTTACAGCAGCATGGCTGAATTAAGCTCGCCTCGGCTGAGCTAGGGAGACCCAGCGGTGGTGACCCTCTGGGCGGCGAAGGCCAAGCCCGCCACACGGAGTCATCAAGGGCCAACCCCGCAGTCCATGGCAACCGATGGAGGGACCCCATGGAGGACGAGCCGAAGGCGGGCCCCCGTGGGTGTGAAGCCGTGTGCGAAGGCGGTCGAGCCCGCCACCCGGGACAACGAAGGACAAGCCCCTCCAGGGCATGCGTCTCGCAACTGTGGGCTGGACCCTACGGGCCGCGAGGGTCGACCTCGCCACCCAAGGCAACTCGGAGCAGCATCCCGTGTGTGACGACGGCCGCGCACGCCATGCATAAGCGACTGCCCCCAGAGCGCTCACACGATCGAAGCGTTGTTCTGGGAACTCTAGATCCGAGCTCCGAACTCCGACCTTGCAACACATGTAAACATGCGTGCAACGGGAACGGCTTGTGCGGATGGGAAGATCGGGAAGAGCCAGGTAGCAACAGAGGAAGAGGAAGGAGGAACAAAGACGAGGAGAAAAGGAAAGTGCTATGATGGAGTCCCACGTTGCCAATGCTTATTTTGAAAAAGAAAACCTGGAGACCCAGAGGGCCTCCTGGGAGTCTCCTGGGGCGTCTTGGATCCTTCCTAAGGGCTGCTTTTTCTTCCGCAGCGACATCGCCTGAAGGTCCGCTTGCTGTGGCACGGTCGACCCGGATGCCGCGGCAGCGATGCACAGGAAGCCCAACTGCGCATGCTCATGCTCAAGGGCAGGAGGAGGAAGTGGAAGAGGGAGGGGAGGAGGAGAAAGGGGTCGCGGCGCTCTGCGGAAGTGCCCTGCGATCCAAGCGGCCGCTTGGACAATGCAAAAAACGCACAGCTGCACCCAGAGGGGAAGAGAGGGGATTCAAGGGCAGGAAGAGGAAGCGGAAGAGGAAGGGGAGGACGAGAAGGGGTCACGGCGCTCTGCGAAATGCCCTGCGACCCAGGCGGCCGCTTCATATAATGCGGAGAAGCGCGCAGCTGCACCCAGATGGGGAAGCGAGGGGGAGGGAGAGAACGATGCGCCGCCGAGGAGGGGGCAAGCACACCGGAACAAAGCAAACACCCAACGCCAATCCGCCAAGCGGTCAAAGCGGAAAAGACAAGAGAGAGAGAGAGACTGTATACATAGACATACATGTATATATACAGATGGATATATGTATATGTATTTACACATATGTATACATGTATATAAAAATACACATATGATATATATATATATATATATATATACATAAACATAGAAGTAAGCGACAGCGAACAAGAAAGAGAGAGAGAGAGAGAGCGAGAAAGAGAGAGAGAGAGAGATAGAGAACAAAGAAAGATAGAGAAACAAAACAGAAGATACGCCACCGTGCCTCTGGGCACGGCATGGGCGTGTCCTCAGGTCCTTTGCCTAATCCTCTAAACCTGAGCCCTCAGTCCTGAGGGGTCTCATGGGGGCCCGGAACCGGAATTGCCAAATCTCCCGAGCTTTCCCGCGGTTTACCTGGTGGGCCTGGCGTGCTCCCTGGGCCTCGGTTATCTGTTATTTGTATGTATATATATATATATATATATATATATATATATGGCTCAGCCCCCCCAGCACCCCGTCCTCCAGCGAGCGATCACTCCGATGATCCGCCTCCTCCTCCACCTTCTCCTCCTACCCCTCCTTCTCCATCTCCTTTTCCTCGTCCTGGACCTCGTCATCCTCATACTCCTGTTCTTCCGCCTCAGCCTCCTCGCCAACCATAGCTCAGCGTCCCCACCCCCGAGACGCCAGCGCAGAGCGAACACTGAACCAGAAGACAGGCAGGATCGGCAGCGGCAGCGGCAGCAGGACAGGAGGGCAGACTCTGGGCCTGATGTCCTGCGGCGCCAAGGTCAGGTGCCAACGCTTCACCTCCTCGCTCCAGGTGGTCTCCTGCGCACCGCGCCGCTATATCAAGAGCCAGCCGCTGCAAAAAGAGTGGCGCCACAGCGCGTCCGGCCACGGACGCTGCAGCACGTATAATTATGCACAAGATATCCAATCCCTGGGAACGAAAGTGAACACCCTGGAACCCCAAGGCGATCCTGCACAGTCAAATAAATATGAAGCAAATTATCAATTAGAAAACTGGGCCAGCTTTCCAACAGTTTCTTAAGGAAACGCTTGGCCAGCTTTTGGAGCCAGGAACGTACGTTATCCATCTCTAGGATTCAAGGCTATCAACCCCCTTTAGAAACTGAACCAGCTTTCAGGCAAGTTGGTTAAGAAACGCTGGGACAACTTTTCGGGGGGAGGTTTCTTAATCATAAGCGGGACCGCGCATGGTTGGGGATGGCAAGCCCGAGCAAACCAAATCCGCCCGCCCACTTGGGGGGCCATCAGGCTGCGGGGCTGGAGCTTCTTTCACCCTGCGCTTGCGTCGCGCACAGGGGGGTCGCGGGAGGGGGGGAGGGGTCTCAGAAACACCCATGCTTCTCAGAAGGCGCGGCCCTTCTCTACGGATGAAGGGCCGGCGCCTTCGAAGAAGCAGCCTCCTTCTAAAGAGCATTCCCCGCTTCCACTACCCCCCTCTGCGCGTGGTCGAATTATCCGGTGGGGGCATTTTTTTTTTATCTGTGTGGGCGCCGAGCGGGCTCGGCGGATTCTTGCATAAATTCAAGGCGGAGAGGCGGAGGGCCGCGCGGGCGCTTACAGCCGCCTGCCGAGGCCGCCTCAGCCCGCGGCGCGCGTCCCCGCGCGGCCTGCGCGGGCGGCCGCTGCCGTCGCGGCTCGCCCGCTCTCGCGGGCCGCCGCTGCGTCCGCGAAGCCGTGGGCTCCACGTGCACCCTCGAGCCCTGGGCGGGACCGCCGCGGCTCGGCGGCCTCCTCCCGCGGGGCCGCCGCGGCCAGCCGCCGCGTAGCCGCGGCGCTCGGCGGCGCAGCCGCCTGGCTCCCAGCGCCAGCCGCAGGCGGTGGGGGCTGGGCGGCTGCTGGCAGCCGCTGCGCTGGCACGGGCGTTGCCACGAGCGCCTGCCCCTCCGCGCCGTGGCCCTGCCTGGCCTGGAGCGCCGCCGCCCAGCGCCGGCGCGTGCTCTCCGTTGGCGAGGCCAGCGGCGCGATCGGCTCCTTCGACGCTGGCAGGATGCCGCGAGCGAAGTCCGACCGCGCCTGGGCTCTGGATCCCTTCTTGCACTTGGGCTGCCCAGCCGCCGCGCTGGCCCCGCACTGCTTGCCCAGGCCGCGGTGCGCGTGCCTGGGGAGGCGGCAGTACTTCCAGCACGCCGCGCGGACCAAGAAGGGCTCGGAGTCGTCTCCTTCGACTCTCGACTCCATGAGGAGGTGGCCGTTGACCCTCCATCCCGCTGGACGGGCTGCATCAGCCGCCTCCGCAGTGGCTGGCCCGCTGCTCGCCGCCTCCGCCGCCGCCAGGCGCGGGCAGGGCGCGGGGGCTGAGGCCTCGCGGCGCCTCGGCTGCACCTGCGCCCTGCGCTGGGCGACACGTCGCAGGGCATCCGCGGGCGACTCGGCCGAGGCGGGGCGGCGCCTCATGGGCGAAGGGCGCGAGCTGGAGGCGCCAGCAGCCGCCGCCGCTGCCAGGGCCGCCGCCGTGGCGAGGAGGGGGCCGCCATCAGCCGCCGAGGCCTGCGCCTCGGCGTAGCCACCGCAAAGCTCCGCGTCGATCTCCTTCACGTTGCCATCGCCATACAGCGCGACGTGCTCCGCGTCGCGTGGCGCCTGGCGAACCTGCCGCGGGCGGCGCACCAAGGGGGCAGCTGGGGGCGGCAGGCTGCTGTCTGCAGGCCGCGGCGGCTGCCCAGGGCCTCCGCCAGCGGCGTGCCCGACAGCGGCGGCTGCCTCGCGGCCCTCGGGGAGCTCGATGGGTTCCGAGATGCCGCTGCCGCGCACCAGCGCCGCGCCGTCAGGAGCAGCCAACAGCGCGTCCAGCTCCGCGATGCCAGACGCGCGCACCTCCACGTCGTGCTTCTTCCCGAACTGGCCGCGCCCCTGGGACTGCGACTTCGGTGGGCTGAATCCACCTGTCCCAGGGGCGGGCTCCGCCGCGGTGGCGAACAGGGGGTCGGCCTCGCCGTCGAGCTCCGCCGCAATGTAGGGGGTGAGGTCCCGCAAGCCCGACTCCGTGTCCTGGACCTCGAACACGGCGGCGAAGCGCGCCGCGAAGCGGGTGCGGGCCTGGCAGCCCTGGAGCAGGCGGGCCTCCTCGTCGGCGATGGCGTGCATCGCCGCGCCCGCCTTCGCGAGCTGGCCCACGAGGCGGTTGCCGAAGAGCTCCACCTCCATGAGGTCGCCCCGCTCGATGGCCGCCCGCGAACGGGAGGGGATGAGCTTCAGGGCAGACGGCGCCGCACCCCTCGCCTGCACCACCCACTCGCCAACGGTCGTGAGAACCGCCACCGACCAGACCGCGCTCCTGATCATCAGGTCGTTGTTGACGCAGGAGCCGTCCGTGAAGACGAGGGTGCCCGCGGGCACCACGAGTGCGCCCGCGCCCCAGCCGCGCGAGCGGCGCGCCCCGCCAGGGTCACAGCGCGGCCTCTGCACCTGGTACTGGGCGCCGACGAAGAGGTCCTGGCAGAAGAGCTCCTCGTAGCGGTGGCCCATCAAGCTCACCAACTCGGCAGTTCGCTTGAAACGGTCGTGGTCGGTCCGCGCGTAGAACTTGCCGTCGAGATAGACTGAGGCTGCCCCAAAGCCAAGCTGGCGGGCGAGCGCGAGCCCCAGGTTGTGTGGGTAGACCGCCATGGCACAGCTGTTCGCATCCTTGCCCCAGACCAACGTGGGCTGGTGGTCCTTCTCCCACTTGACACCGTAGCGGCGGCGCACCCTGCACCAGATGCGCAACCACTTGCCCATGAGGCCGATCGGGCGGCGGCCTCCGTCTGGCTTCCCCAGGAAGAGGAACACCGTGGTGAAGAGGGCCGAGGGCTGCGGCTGCAACGCCCAAGCCGTGAGCACCTCTGCCATCATATCGGCGAAGGGCCTGCCCTGGGAGAGGACCAGCCGCGGGTGGAACGCATCCCAGCCCAGAGCGGTCTGCTTCGGGAGCGACTTCGCCGCCTCGAGGCTGTCGCCCACCGTGAACGGGGGCAGCACCATGGAGCAGATCCAATCGGCTGGTCTGGTCCTGTGCTCTCTGTCGGCTCCTTTCCAGAGGGCCTTCCACTCTATGCGGATCTGGTTCTGGGCTTGCTGGACTACAACGGGGGGCGTCGGCCAGTCGGGGCAGTGCGCGATCACCGAGTCCAGCACCTGATCGCGGTCCTGTATGACATCTTGGGCTCCTTTCGCCCCTTTCGTCGAGGCCACGTCCACGTAGTCCATCCAGCGCAGCCTGGCCGCCTTGGCTTCTTCTTTGCAGAGTCTCGCCGCCGCGCTCTCGATCATCTGCAGGAAGGCCTGCTCTTGCACAGAGGGCTCTTGGATCACCACAGCCAGCGAGTCCAGCTTAGTGCCTTCAAACATGGAGCAGCCCGCCTGCTCGAACTTGGGCCCCAAGCTCTTGGCCACCTGCGCCAGGTGCTTCATGTAGCCCCCGTGCCCCTCAGGGGGTGAGCTGACGGCAGCAGCCGCACTGAGCTGCCTGGCGATCCTCCCGAGGCAGCGCCAGCACTTGGTGAGGGGGCAAAGCTTCCTGACAGCCTCCGTGCGCTGCAGCTTGGCCAGCTGGAGGGGCTTGGCCTGCGGTCGCCCTGGCTGGGGCTGGGCTGCAGGCTTCGCGGCTGCCGCGGCGCCCGCGGGGCCGCCAGGCGGGCGGCTGCCCGCCGCCTTGGGGGTCCGAACCTCAGGGGGTCTCACGCCCTCGCCCTTAGCCTCGCCACCTTGAATTGGGTACCCACTATTCCGTATGGGCCCCTGGCTGGGCTGAGGACTGCCAGTCCTTCGGTCGGGCCCATCCAAGTCCGCCGCAGCGCTTGGCTCTGTCCTGCTACTGAGCGCCTTGAACTTGGAACCATGGCGCGCATCGTCGGAGCGTCGGTCCTGGCGCAGCAGCGGCCCAGTGAAGGGAAGCCCTTCCCCAGCGTCGGCCTCGACGTTGGCCGCCAGGTAGGCGTGCATGCCGCCGCTCGGCGCCGCCTTCGCCGCGGGGCGGCTGGGCGCCGCCGCCTCTGCCTCCTCAGCCCCGTCTGGGACGGGCGGCGCCGCGCTTACGGGGCCGCCGCCTGGCAGCAGGGTGCTACCCGCGGGCCTGGCCGCTGCCAGCAGCAGCGCCAGCAGCAGGTGGAGGGGCCGCCGCAGCAGCCTTTTGGTCGGCAGCGCGCTGTCGGGCCGCCTCGTCTGCCGCTCGGCTCTCCACGGCGGCCGCTGGGGGGGGCCCTGCACCAGGCGCAGCGCCTGCTGCTGGGGCGGCGGCAGCAGCAGGGGCGGCCGCCTGTCCTGCTGGCTGCGGCGGGGCGGCCGCGCCCCGCACGGGGGTGCCAGCGGCCACGGCTGCTGCAGGCCCCTCCTCGGTGCGCTTGCGCTTCTTGGCCACCTCCTCCTCGATCTGGCGCTTGATGCGCTGCTGGTGCTCCTGGCAGTTGCGCTCGAACGTAGCCTGCGCCCCCTGCATGATCCGGAGCCCCTCGTGACAGAGGCGCCTGAGGGTGGCCTGCGCCTCCTCCTCCAGCTCCGCGAAATTCTCGAATGACTCCGCGTCGAAGTTGAAGGTGAGCTGCCTCGCTCCATCGGGCTGGGCGCCCACGACGCCAGCCGCTTGGGCTCGCTGGCGGAGGAGGGCGTTCTCCTCCTCTTTGGCCTCTGCGAGGTTGACCGCCGCCTCGTCGCGCCAGCCTCGGCGCAGAGCGAGGTGGTCCTCCGCCGCCACGAGCGCGTCCGCCGCCTCGTCGAGCTGGCGCTGGAGGTGGATCCGCTTCGCCGTGGCCGACTGCAGCCTCTGCTCGAGCGGCGCGACCGCGGGCGCGACGCAGCCCCGCGCGTCACGGACTGCCTCCTGCAGCCTGGCCGCGATGGCGGGGTCCCCGCAGGCGAGGAGCGCTTCGAGCTCGCTCTCGGGGGGGGCCGACCAGGGGGCCTTCGGGAAGGCGCCTCCGCCGCGGCCACCCGCGCCCCCGCCGCCGCCACGGGAGGCTGCACCACCACCGCCGCCACGGGAGGCTCCTCCACGGCCCTTGCCGCCCTTGCCGCCCTTGGCGCCATACTTCGGTGGGCCTCCGCTGCCGCTTCCTCGCAGCGCGGGTTGGGAGCTGCCGCCGCCGTCGTCCGCCCAGACCCCGACGCGGGGCGAAGGCTTCGAGGGCGCCAGCTCCAGCCCGATCCCGCGCAGCCAGCACTTCGCATTCCTGCGGAAGTTCCAGCGGAAGCGGCAGCCCGTGCACACGACGAAGCCAGGCTCGGCCTTCGGCCCCATCGCCGGAACGGGCGGGCGCGCTGCTCAGCCGCGGGCGTGCAGCAGGCAGGTGCCGACGGGGGCGGACCCGCCGACACAGAAGAAGCCGTGACCCGCAGGTCCAGGGTGCTGCAGTGGCAGCTCACACTTGTTGGAAAGGAAGGTAGCCTCAAAGCAGAACCTCCCTCGCGCTTAGTCGCCCCGAAAGACTCGCGGTCGTCGGGACGGTTCATTGCCTTGAGCCAAAATGGCTACGGACTCCGGTGGGGGCATTGGATAAGGAATCCTTAGATGAGGAATCCAGGGTCTGGAGGCCAGTGGCTCTCAAATCGAGGCTTGGCCATGGATATCACCGCCGCCCTCATCAGATAAGGAATCCTCCAGGGTCTGCAGCATCCTGGGCGCATTCCTGAACCAACGCCCCCACCGTAATGCAACTTCCGGGTTTCCACTGTGCGCGAGGGAATGGGGGCCGAAAAAGAGCCCGGCCACCACGCCCGAGCCGCGAGCTCTGCATGTCTGGTGGGCCACCGGACACGCGCAAATACGTGAGATTCGGGGATGGACAGAACCCCCTTGACTAAAACGTGGTTTAGTGAAAACGACCTCGGGCCCAAGCCTGGCGGGCCCAAACCCGAAAAATGACGGCCGCGGCGCCCTCTCGAGACCCGAAAACGGACAATCCACGAATCGACGTGTCGGGGTGGGGGTTCTGTCCACCCCCGAGAGATTCGCGCCCCCCCGACGCAATAATCCCTTTGAGATTGCGCCAGGTGCGTGTTCTTCCTCGAGAAGCCAGGCGAGTACAAACTGGTCAATGGCATCGCTGATCTGCACAGCGATGGCCACGCGGGCAGTCTTGCCCGTGCCCCGACAGGCTTCCAAGTGGGGCTTCCCGAGGAACGGGAACCCGACCCGTTCGATCGGCACGACCGCAATGGCGGCCCAGGGCAGCCTCTCGTGTGGTTCCTGCCGAAAAACCAGCAGCCTGGCAGAAAAGCTGGGGCCTTCTTTGCAGCCTTCCGCCAAGTCTGCGGCCGCAGTTGCGGTGCCGGGCGCCACGGCCCATGGGCAGAGGCGAGAGGCCCTGGAGAGTCAAGGAGAAGCGCCTGGACGTGAACCTTTGGAGGATTCCATGTGCCCATGGTGGAGGCAGGGCGAACTACAAAGGCAACCACTTTCCCATGATGGTCTTCACGAACAATCGCCCCAGGCGATCCCCCGACGGCATGCAGCGGCGTCGCGATAAAAAAAGAAGCCAGGGCCAGGGCAGATGCGCGAGGACAGCCAGAACCGCCGCCGCGTGCGCCTGCAGCAGACGCCGCAGTTGCGGACCAACCTGCAGCAGATGCCGCAGTTGCGGCTGCTCCTGCTGGGAGCGCAGTGCGGGGGCCAGAGCGCAGTGTGGGGCCAGAGCGCAGTGCGGGGCCGGTGGGGTCAAGCGAGCTCCGCCGGGGGCTCCGCGCGCCGCCGAGCAGGGGTGGGGGCAGGCGGAGGGGCGGCAGCAGTGGCGGCGCAGAGCCAACGACTGGTGGGCTGGCGACTCCTGGCGCGGTTGGCGCGGTTGGGACTGGAGTGAGTGGCGGTGATGTCGGGGGCTCGTCAGGCGCCGCAGTTGCGGACGCATGGGAGGGGGAGGAGGAGGCGGAATTAGAGGAGGAGGAGGAGGAGGAGGAGGAGGAGGAGGAGGAGGAGGAGGAGGAGGAGGAGAAGGAGGAGGAGGAGAAGGAGGAGAAGATGAGGAGGGAAGAGGAGGAGGAGGGGGAGGATGAGGACGCACGTTGAGGAGGAGGAGGGGGAGGGGGACGAGGAGGAGGAGGAGGAAGGGGGCGAGGAGGAGGACGAGGAGAAGGAGGATGAGGAGGAGGTGGAGTAAGATGAGGAGAAGGACGAGGAGGAGGATGACGAGGAGGAAGAGGAGGAGGAACGAGGACCAGGAGGTCGAGGGAGAGGAGGGGGAGGAGGAGAGAGGAGGACGAGGAGGAGGAGGAGGACGCACGCGAACGCCGCAGTTGCGGCGTTGCACGAAAGGATAAGCGCTTGCGCGCTTGCGCAACAGAAAAAAACGCCATCATCGTCACCATCATCACCTCACATCCTCACCGCAATCACCTTAAACTTCATCGTTGTCAAAAACACTCCTGACATGGTTGTTCTAGGGGGTCCGGAGCGGACCCCCTGGATGGCCCAGGGGGTCCGGAGCGGACCCGTTCGAAAGAGGACGATGTGGACACTTAGGAGGGCTTCTGGATTAAAGAAAGAGAGATTGAAACAGAGAGAGAGAGAGAAGACGAGAGAAAGAGATAAAGTAAAGAGAGAGAGAGAGAGAGCGAGAGAGAGAGAGCAACATAGAGAGAGAGAGAGAGAGAAATAGAGAACGATACATAAATATATATATATATATATAGATATAGATATATGTACATATAGGATCAACCACGGCATGATGGTGTTGGAAGTCGGAGAGGGGTGTGGTATCATGGGGAGTGGTGCAAATGCTGGAATGGCGATGTTCTGTGCGACAGCCATCGCGCTGCATCCCGATTTCAACTTTGGTTTTGCGTCGACCGTTTCGAGCAAAATCATAATGTAGAGTTCCAACTCCCCAAGCGACCGCCATCCAATCTGAACCCCGACAGACTTGCCCATTGCATGACGCTTGATTGCCAAACGGCCGATTCTGGAGATTCTGGAATTTCCGGAATTCATGTTTGTGATTCCGGAATTTCCAGAATGCCGTTTCGGAATTGCCAGAAATCTGATTTGTATTGAAACAATACTATCTCTAGATTTTGGAATTTCTGGAACTACGTTTTTGGCGATACGGAATTTCCTGAATCACGCTTTTCGCGATTCGGAATTTCCCAAACTGCGTGCCTGGTGATCGGGCGTCCTGGAACAGGTGTTTGTGGATGTTCGCAGGGAAGTGCGGTTGTTCGGGGAAGTTGGGATCGGGAATTCTGGCGTTGTTTGAGGCGGTCGGAGCAAAACCAACGTTGTTGACATCGGGATGCAACGGATTTGCGGCTATCGTAGAACACATTGACTTTTCAGCCTTGGCACCACAGCCCTGTCTACCACACTCCTCTCCAAACTCCAGAATGGTTAGATATGTCATCGCCACGCAAAACATCCTAGGCTGGTAGATGGTGGTTTCCTCTTCCAGCCCCTTCTTCCCCTTCGGGGAGGGATTTGCCCCTCCCCCTCCCCCCTCCCCCCTCCCCCCTCCCCCTGGATCTGGAGGGGGGGATCCGCGGGTCATTGGAGCTTTCAAGATGGTCTCGACGAGAAGACGCGCATCGTTGTTTTCAGTTGGGTTTGGGGCCCATTTTGGCCTCCAGGGGGCGGAAGGGGGCGGCGCTAATACGGTACCAACCACTTCTGTGATCGAGCTCCTCCAAGATGGCCCCAGAATGGCCCACAAGGCTCCCAAAGAGTGCCCACAGGAGTGCCCCCAGAGGCGCCCAGGAGGCCCCAAGAGGCCTCCAAGACGTCACCAGGAGGCTCCCAAGAAACCCCCAAGAGGCCCCAAGAGGCTCCCCCCAAGCACCCAAGACGCTTCAACAGGCCCCCCCGGGACGGCCAAGAGGCTCCAAAGGACGGCCAGAATACGCCCACAAGAAGCTGTCAAGAGATACCCGAAGAGATTCCGATCAGCATCCAAGAGGCCTCTGGCCTGGCTGCTCGCCCTCCTCCTCCTCCTCCTTCCTCCTCCTTCTGCTCTTCCCTCCTCCCTCCTCCTCCTCCTCCTCCCCCTCCTCCTCCCCCTCCCCCTCCTCCTCCACCTCCTCCTTCTCCTCCTCCTCCTCCTCCTCTTCCTCCTCCTCCTCCTCCCCCTCCCCCTCTCCCTCCTCCTCCTCTTCCTCCTCCTCCGACTCTTCCTCCTTCCTCCCCCTCTTAAGCTGTAACGTCTTACCCACTGCAGGCTCCTCCACATCCCTGATCAATGCAACTCGTCTAGGCATCGTTTCTGGATGGGCTGGTGTGGTCACGCGAAGCGTCTAGACTGCGACATGAAAGAGGAAACGGAGAGGCTCCATATTGCGGAACACCGCCTGCCTGGGGACCAGGTTGCTGCTGCGCCCATTCACGCGCGGCGCCTGGGCGGGACGACAAGGGTGGAGAGGTGAATGAAGAGGGGGGGGGGACGAGAAAGAAGGGTCATCTGGATGGGGCTAGAGCTGAGTCGCGCTGTGTTTGCATGTAGATGCCCCGTTAGGTGGCTTTCGTTTTCGCACTCGCCCTGGCTTTGGACTGACCTGAAGATGCAGATTTGGCCTTAGCTTTCGCTTTCGCAAGATATCGAGTTTCAGATGATGTAGCCGCTGTTGTGGCTGTGGTTGCAGCCTAAATGAGCCTTGTTCGAGCAGGCCAGCTCTGCCTTACATATTTCGTAGCCCAGCGCTCGCTACAACGTTATCTGGAACATTCAGGACACATGCCGGCTTTGGCAGAGGCTTCAGTGCCGCGGCAAACAAAAACCTGACGCCCTCAACTACGATCAAGGTACCCAGACCCGCCCTGCGAATACGATCGTGTGCCCTGCGCCTTGTTTGTTTGCCCACCTTGAGAAATACGATGGCGCGTGCTGGGTGTATCCCGATAGGTGTGCGACTGCGCGTGCGGATGCCATCGTCTGTAGCCCCGGCGCGCACGCGCATGTGTTCACTGAGGGCTCACTGGTGCATACACCACCACATGCGATCGACGCGTGCGCGCGCGTGCGCGTGCGCATGTGCGGGAGCATTTGCGCGGCATGGTGTCGACGGGCCTCCACGCATGGACTTGAGCATGGGTAGAGCTCGCGATCATGCCAACGCGGCTTCCAGTTGGTGTGGCGAGCGGGGTCGGCGATAGGCTTTGCACGCGTAATGCGACATCATAGGGACCGTGAGAGAGGCCGAACGCTGATTGCCTTGCGATGTAGGAAGTTTACGGGAAGGACGTGTATGCCTCGCCTGGTATGGCTTGACCAGGATGGTTGTTGTGAGAGGGCGGCGCCAGTTGGCATCTGATACGAGTTCATACGTAGGGTAAGCGACCGAGCATAACAAATACAAGAGATCGCTCTGCGAAGGGGGGGTGGGTGAGAAGCTCGGCCCATGGAGTTGGATGGGGTTCGAGTGCGTGGGAAAGAACAGCTACCTTCGGCACTCGAGTGGGCCGTAGCTGTTAAGGATGTTCGTTTGGTAAGCGCTCACCTCTGCCCAGCACATCTCAGCTCTGCAGCTTGCGTTCAGGCTTGTCCAGTGCCGGCTGGGCCAGGCGGGAGGCGGCCTACACACACTACAGCTGAGCTTATCGCTGCCTCGTTGGTCGTGGCAGCGGCAGGCAACCGCATAATGAGGCCTGGATGCGTGTGAATAGGTCAAGCAGACGCAGGAATCGAGAGTATCTTGGCGTGGCTGGGCTTGTTGCATTCTTTCAGTCTCGCCTCCGTCGTGGTAACCCCGCGTCATCTTTCTTGAGTCTTCGCTTGCCGATGATCTTGCTGTACAGCTTTCGGCGCTGGACATGGCGATCTCTCGCAGCAGGAGGCAGCCATTTCGCCTCGGAGAGTCGCTGAGTGAGATCCTTGGTGTGCTTCAGGTCGTCATATTTGTGTGCGCCTTGAGGTCGCCGTCATCGGTCAGCTGTTACGTTGGCGGTTTATTGGCTTGCTTTGTGATCGGGGTTGGGCGCGCGGGCATCACCTTTTCCTGGCTCTATCTCCTTGGGCGAACGTGTGGATTGGCTCTCGAAGTTGTCTGGAGAGCGCTTCTTGTGAAGGACCCTCTTGCTGATCGATACCTTCCCATGACTGGCCATCGCTCGGACGTCCATTCCCTGTGTTTTGTTCGGGTTCGTGCGTGGTTTTTTCGCCAAATGATCAAGGATGCTCCTCGATGGTCCTCGCCGAAGGAAAAATGCACACGTCCGAGCGATGTCGAGATGAATGCTACTTCTGAAGGGCGAGGCCACTGTGGCATTGGCCATAGGGCTGCGCTCTGAACCTGAACAAACTGATGATCGCGCTCTCCTGGTTAACTGTGCTTCTTCGGTGCTTAGACGGCCGGCACGGACGAACCAAGTGACCTTGATGGGCATTGTACGGTCGCCAACTCACCATGATCTGTTGGAACGGTTGTGTCAGTGATGACGTTGGCGCACCTCTTCTTGACTTGCCCCTGAGAGTGCCCAGACGACGTCGCGGACCAGTTTGAGCCACGTGGAGTGACTGATATCGGCGTGGCCCTCGCAGTCGTTTGCAAGCGGATTAGCAATTCGCGTCATGGCGCTGGTACGCGGCATCCAATGTACTGCGCTGCTGGGTCAATGGTCATTGCCGTGCGTGCTGATAATGAGGCGCCATGAGAATTTCCACATTCGTGCGACTTTGTAGCGGTCGTGCCGCTACTGCGTATACTTGGCATCATAGTTATTGCGTGCGAGTCGAGGTGCATCAGTGTTGATCATGACTGGACATATGCCCAGAACTTGCAATCCGTCCTGGTAGTTGCGGGGTAGTTGGCACGGACTGTAAAGATTAGAGCACTTCTCGGCCAGCTAACAGAAGAGGCCATGTCTGGATCTGCTGAGCGCTGTGCCTGAAGGCAGCCAGCGGCTTTTGGATGAGTAATAGCCGATCGGTGAATCGCTGGGCGCCGAGCTCTGCCTTCGCAGGGGTGTGAGTCGCGGGCTTCCTCGGTGATGGCGCCGCAGTCTGGGCGAAGCAACCTCCCCCTCTTCCTCCTCCTCCTCCTCATAATCCTCCATGTTCTTAGCCTTCTCACCACGCGCCTTCGTTCTCCACCCCCTGCGTTCATATTCCTCCTCCTCCAGGTCCTCCTCCTTCTCCTCCTGCTCCTGCGACCCCTCCTCTCTATCCAGCCCCTTCTCTTCATCTTTCTACTCCTCCTCATCATCACCATCACCACCACCACCACCACCACCATCATCATCATCATCATCATCATCATCATCATCATCATCATCATCATCATCATCATCATCATCATCATCATCATCATCATCATCATCATCATCATCATCGTTATCAGCATCATCATCATCAGCATCATCATCATGATCATCATCGTCATCAGCATCATCATCATCATGATCATCATCACCATCATCACCACCATCATCATCATCATTACCATCACCATCACCATCACCATCACCATCATCATCATCATCATCATCAGCAGCATCATCAGCATCATCATCATCATCATCATCATCATCATCAGCATCATCGCCATCATCATCATCATCATCATCATCATCATCATTATCATCATCATCATCATCATCATCATCATCATCATCATCATCATCATCATCATCATCGCCGTCATCATCAACTTCAGCATCAACATCACCATCACCATCAACATCATCAACATCATCATCAACAACATCATCATCATCATCCTCTTCTTCTTCTTCCTCCTCCTCCCTCTGGTTCTTCTTTCTACCGCTCCTCCCCACCCTTGCCGTGAAGAGTCAAAGGTGGTCGGACATCGGAAAACCACACCAAGACGGGCACCGTCGTGCGAAGACGAGGCTCGCGCGCGAGCTCGGCAGGCCGCACACGGAAGCAGCGGCCCGCCCGAGTGCAGCGAAGGGGGGGCGCTGTGCCCGCTGACTCCCGCCGCGGCCCGAGGAGGAGGAGGAGGAGGAGGAGGAGGAGGAGGAGGAGGAGGAGGAGGAGGAGGAGGAGCGTCGGCAGGGCCAGGAGGAGGAGGAGGAGGAGGAGGCGGAGGAGAACAGCGTGCCGCGTGCAGCGTGCAGCGCGCAGCGTGCAGCGCCGAAGCGTGGTGGGCCAGAGCCGGCGGCGCGACATGTCAGGCAAACGGCCCCGGCCGTCGTGCGTGGACGTCCCCCCCGAGGTCTCGGCCCCTTCCCGGGGACCACCGGCTCTCCATCCTGGGCCCGGTTCCTGCGGGCCCCAGGGTCCCCAGGGCAGGGGAGGGCCCCCGGAGGCAGGACTCGGCCGACAACCCCACGTCGTGCCTTTTGGTCACGGCCCGAGGGGAAGGACGGGCGGGGTGGGCGAGGGGAAGGCGGGGGCGGACGCAGGGCGGCGCGCCTGTGTCAGCGCCTCCAGGACGTCCTCGGCCGCTGCCGGCGCACGCTCCATCAGCTCGACCCACTGGGCGACCGTCACCCTGCCCCGCAGCACTTTGCGCCACACGTGGTGGACTGCGCGCATGGGGCGCGGGGGCCCTGCCACGTCCTCGTCCGTCTTCCACTGTTCGTCCTTCATCCCCCTCTTCTGCTCCTACTCGTGGGTCCGCTCCCGCGTCTCCTCCTCCTCCTCCTCCTCCTCCTCCTCCTCCTCGTCCTGCTCTCCTCCTTCTCCTCCCGTCCCCTCCTCCTGTGCTCATCCTCCTTCCTCTGTCCTCCTCCTCCTCCTCCTCCTCCTCCTCCTCCTCCTCCTCCTCCTCCTCCTCCTCCTCCTCCTCCTCCTCCTCCTCCTCCTCCTCCTCCTCCTCCTCCTCCTCCTCCTCCTCCTCCTCCTCCTCCTCCCCCTCCTTCTCCTGTCCTCCTCTCCTCCTCCTCCGCCTTCTCCTCCTCCTCCTCCTCCTCCTCCTCCTCCTCCTCCTCCTCTCCTCGTCCTCATCCCCCTGTCCTCCTCTCCTCCTCCTGCTCTCCTCCTCCTCCTCCAGCTCCTCCTCCTCCTCCTCCTCCTTCCCCCTATCCCCCTCCTTCTCCTCCTTCTCCTCCTCTTCCTCCTCCTTATCCTGCTGCCATTCCCTGACCACGCCTCCCTCCACACTCCTCCAGTCTCCCCTGCGCCCCCGCCCCCTGTCACCCATCTCGGTTCTCCGTCCCTCGCCCTCGTCCCGCGTGCTCTACCACCCCGCCCCCCGTCACACATCTGCGGCCTCTGTCCCTCGTCGATCCCTCTGCCTCCCGTCTTGCTCCCACCCCTCCACCGCCGCACTCCACGCTCTATCCTCCCTCATCTTCCTTCTCCCTCGTTCTCTCTCCGTTGCCCTTCTGCACCTGCTCCTAGGTCGGCCCTGCTTGGATGATGGGTAAGGCCTGTCTGACCCCGATTGCTAGCCAACGTGCCATCACGGCCGTGAGCTTGCAGGGGCTCACTGTGATGGCGCCATTCACCCGTTCGTGCACGGGGGCCTGGTGAAAGGCCATGCCCTGCTGAGTGCATGGATCGACTCAGTGTTGGCAAGCTGTCAGCGAAGTGCAATCAGCAATGATGGGAATGAGATTAAGGGGACTCGCACCTCCAAGACAGCCTCACGACTGCCCAAGACGCCCCCCACGAGAGCCTCAAGACTGGCCAAGAGGCCTTCAAGGTGGACCCGGGTCCGTCTCCAAGATGGCCAGTCAACGCGCCGAGATGGCACCCAAGACGGCCCAGACAGGCTCGCAAGGCGGCCTCCGAAAGCGTCCGATGCGACAAGAGAGCGGCCCAAGATGCCCCTAAGAGGCTTCCAAGAGGCCCCCATGAGGCCCCTCAGAGGCCGAATATGCCCCCCAGGAACCTTCAAGGGGAACCAACAGGGCCCCTAGATGCCTCCTCCTCCTCCTCTTCCTCATCCTTGTCCTCCTTTTCCTCCCTGGTCCTCCTCCTCCTCCTCCTCCTCCTCCTCAACCTGTCTCTTTCTTTATGTTTGTTCTTTCTTTCTTTCTCTCTCTCTCTCTCTTTCTCTCTTCCTCCCTCTCTCAATCCCCCAGCTCTCTCTCTCTCTCTTTCTGACTGTCTCCCTCTCTCCCTCTCTTACTCCCACATCGGTTCCCCCCACAAAGTTCGCACTACGGCTGGGAGAGCACATGGCCAGAGATCTTGGCCAGAATCTGGTTCAACGTGTGGCCACACAGGCGATTCCAAGGCAGCAGGAGGGCTGTGGTGGTTCGCCGTCGGCGTTTGCGATACTACATGTGCTGGTGCTCGAGTTTAGTTTGGTATGCACCTCCTGCGGCCGCAGTCATCCAAACATGCGAGCCGAGTAGACAACCCTTCTCTTTCGATCACGACTGGTTGGGTGAATGAAGGGGATCCAACACACACAAATAAATACACACAAATAAAACGATTCCTCATATTTTCCTATATTTTCTGGGTCTCTGTCTTCCCCCCCACTGCCTATATTTTCCCATATGTTCTGGGGAATCGACGACTAATTGTGTCTGTGTGTTTCTTCCCCTCCTGAGTTAAGGCGGCAGCAGGCACGGACGCCTTCGTCCACGTCCGTCCCGGCGCGCATCAGGACCGCGGCCGCTGCCGGCGAGACCTGCGCAGCGGAGCCTCTCTGCGGAGCAAGGCGGTGGGGCAACATGTACCGTCGGGGGACGATGAAACGGACGAGGAGGAGGAGGATGAGGAGGAGGAGGACGAGGAGGAGGAGGAGGAGGCGGAGGAGGACAATACAACAGTAGGTGGAGGAGGCCGAGAAGTGAGGCGGCAACGAGGGGGAGCAGTAGGCCAACGGGCGATGGGAAGGAGGACGACAGGCCCAGAGAGAGCGCGCCGTGCCCCGCGACGGGGCGGGCGAGAGCAGCAATCGAACGGTGAGAAGCACGGCCCCACTCGTGACAGAGACCGAACGCGAGGTGAGCGCACCGCTCAGGGCGCCTCGAGGGCGGAACTCACCACGGCCTGCCCAGCGACTCGAGGCCCGAGCGAGGGCGCTCGTGAGGCAAGTGGGAAACCACCCAATCGATTACACACTGCCCGAAGCACTCGCCGCATCATCGACGTACCGTATCTGCTGCGTGGTGCTGGTGGCTAGGCGTGACACCCTCGGGCGCAAGAGCTTGTCAGACACTCGCTCCCGTTATATGCATGCCTATGGTGTGTACATAAGTCTACAGTTGCGCACGTGTGTATTTGCATGAGTGTGTGTGCATGTACGTATACGTGCGCGTGTGTGTGTGTGTGTGTGTGTGTGTGTGTGTGTGTGTGTGCGTGCGTGTGTGTGTGTCTGTGTGCGTGTGTGTGTGCGCGTGTGTGTGTGTGTGTGTGGTGTGTGTGCGTGTGTGTATGTGTGTGTGTGTGTGTGTGTGCGTGCGTGCGTGTGCGTGTGCGTGTGTGTGCGTGTGCGTGTGCGTGTGCGTGTGCGTGTGCGTGTGCGTGTGCGTGTGCGTGTGCGTGTGCGTGTGCGTGTGCGTGTGCGTGTGCGTGTGCGTGTGCGTGTGTGTGTGAATGTGTGTGTGTGTGTGTGCACGCGCGCGTGTGTGTGTGTGTGTATGTGTGTGTGTGCAAGTGTGTGCGAGACGGGTTTCGCTCGTTCTAGCTGCTCTGGCCGACAAGGCTGCAACCGCTGAGAAATCCCTCCCCCGAGCACGGCACAGCCCGCCACCGGGCTGCGGCCGGGGACTCCGCTGGGCGGCACCGCGTGCACGGGAGAAGCGGAAACATGGATTAGCGATCCATGGAATGAACCAGATCCGCTGTTGGGCCTCGCACCCATTCTTTCCGTACCCATCTCGCTTGTGCGGAAAATCCATGGATCGGGGAGGGTGCCCTCCCGAACATGCGACCGGTGCCGCCGCGATTTCCCACGGAAATGGGGCCCGTCGCCAATCCACGCCCCCCTGATCCATGCTTCCGATCGCCTGAAAGGGGGGGCGGGATGCGAAACCCCAGTGGGGCCCCAAGAGAAGCCCAAGAGGGGGACCGCGAGTCAACATCTGGAGACCTCCGTCCCAAGCGGACCCCCGAGGCCGCCAGCAGGCCGCCCGAGAGGCCTCCGGAGGGGCCCCGGAGGCCCAAAGCAGGCGCCCCCCAAAAAGGCCTCCAAGAGGGGCCCCGAAAGGCCTCCGAGACACCGCAGAACCGCCTGCAAGAGGCTTCCGATCGGCCTCCCAAGATGCCCACGGGCATCCAGGATGCCTCTGCTTCTCAACTCGGGCGCGGTGGCGGGATGGACCGAAGGGCACCACATCTGCCGCCCCCCTGCGGTCTTGCCACAGGTGTGCACGCCGTGCTGGACGTCTGGGGAGCCCCCCCTGGGGCTTCGGTCCAGCCCGCAAACCACCCGGACATCCCGGGAACAAACGCCACTCAATGTCGAAATCGCCTCTACCAAGGCCAAGATTGCCCAAGATGGCACCCGAGACGGCCAAACTGGCCTCCAAGACGGCTAAGATGGCCCCGAGAGGGCCAAATATGACCACAAGATGACTCCAAGTCCGCCTAAGAAGCCACCAAGACGGCCCAAGCTGGCCTCAAGATGGCCCAAGACGCCCCAAGAGGCCCCCAAGAGGCCTCCAAGGCGGCCCAGGAGGCCTCGAAGAGATCCTCCAGGAAGGCTCGGACAGACCAACATCGTTGATGCTCCATACGCTTTTTTGTTGTTCTGCTGTGCTTCGATGGCTTTGGCATTGGCATCCGCTCGGCCTTCCGAAAGGCCAAGACGGTCCACGAGGCCCCCAAACTTGCCCCACGATCGCCCAAGAGGCCTCCAAGATGGCCACAAGACGGCCCACGGGGCTCCCTAGACGGCTCCCCAAAAGGCCCCAAGACGGCCTGAGAGTCTTCCATGACGCCCAAGATGGCCTTGAAGGCGGCCCTGAAGCGTCCCAAGAATGCCCCAAGGCGGCCCAGAGAGACTCACTGGACGGCTTCCGACGGCGTCAGACGGGCCAGGAGCGCCGTACGACGGCCAAGCAGGCATCCAAGAACCCCCCCACGGCCCCCAAGAGGCCCAAGGACCCAGGAGGCCTCCACGAGACCCCCAGGAAGCTCCCCAGAGGCCCCAAGAATGACCCAAGAAGCTTCCAAGAGATCTCCTCATCCTTCTCCTCATCCTCCTGCTTCTCCCTCTCATCCTCCTCTTCCTCCCCCCACGTGCTCCCCAAGGGCTTCCACCCACTACGGCGGCTGGGGGAACGCATTGTCCAATAGCGTGGCCAAACTTTGTCTACACACTTGGCCACACATGCGTATTGTAAAAGGCAAGGAGCGGCAGCGGTTCGGCGCAGGCGTCTTCGGTATGCACAGAGGGAAAGGCATTCTGGTCTACACACATGTATGTATGTATGTATGTATGTATGTATTTATGTATGTATGTATGTATGTATGTATGTATGTATGTATGTATGTATGTATGTAAATGGCCACACATACATCTAGTACATACATACATACATACATACGTACATACATACATACATACATACATACCAACACATATACATACATACATACATACACACGTACATACACACATCCATACACACACATACATACACACATACATACATGCACCCACACACATATACATACATACATACATACATGCATACATACATACATGTATACATCCACGCCTACATGCATGTCTGCACACATTCATACATACATGCATACATGCATGCACACATACATACACATGTACATACACATGCACATTTCATATGCACATACATATACATTTACATACATACACACCCGCACACGCATACACACACATATATATATATACACAGGTGTACACATGCAGACATCCATACCCACCTACCTACCGTACGGCCTACCTACCAACCAGCCTACATACACATACACCATACGTACATACATTATATACATACATACAAAACTACATACACACACATACCTGCATGCAGCCAGTCATACATACATGCATGCATGCATGCATGCATACATGCATGTATGCATCCGCACATCATACATACCTGCCTGCCTGCCCTAATACCTACCTGCCTACATACCTACCTATCTACCTACACACATACCTACCTACCTACCTACCTACCTACATACATACATACATACATACATACATACACACACATACATACATACATACATACATACATACATACATACATACATACATACATACATACATGCATGCATGCATGCATGCATGCATGCATGCATACATACACACATGCATACATACATACACACACATACATACACATACATACACATACACACATACACACATACATATACCCACATACACAATTATGTGAAGAGATATGTAATGACAGAGAGAAAGGGAGACAGGGAGAGAGAGAGAGAGAGAGAGAGAGAGAGAGAGACACAAAGGGAACCACACACATACAGAGAAAGAGAGAGAGAGAGAGAGAGAGAGAAAGAGAGATACAGAGAGAGAGAGAGAGAGAAAGCGAGAGAGCGAGAGGGAGAGCGATAGAGGGGGGAGAGAGGGAGAGAGATTCTGAGAGAGGGAGACTTGAAGACATATATGTATATACATACATAGAAATCGGGAGAGATAACTAGAGAGAGAGAGAGAGAGACAGAGGGCGAGAGAGAGAGAGAGCGAGAGATACATATACCCCTGTTGACACATACATATACACATACATGCACACATGTATGGATGTATGCATGCATGTCTATGTATGTATGCACGCATGCGTGTATGTATGAATTACTGCACGGACGTGCGTACGTACGTATGTATGCCTGTCTGTCTGTATGCATTCATGCACGTATGTCTGTATGTATGTGTGAGCATATATGTATATAGGCAAAGAGATATCGTTACCGAGTCGTTAAGACATGCATGCACACCGAAGAAGGACACCAACAACCCAACGCGACCTGCGCGACCCGCAACACGTCTTCGATCGTCCTCTCGCACAACATGTGCAGCTTCACCGCGGGAAACCGGCCGTGCTCTATGGCCACCTCGGAGAAAAACGGGCGCTCTCGGAGAACCCTCGGGAGGGCGCGCGCGGGGGCGTCACGTCGGGACCCCCGCCCCTCGTGTCGGACGGCGATGGGAGGGGGGGGCGGGGGAGCGGGATGGGCAATGGCACTGGCGCTGACGGGGGAGTAGGAGGGAGAGGAGGGGGAGGACGAGGAGGCGGCGGAGAAGGAGGAGGAGGAGAAGGAGGAGGAGGAGAAGGAGGAGGAGGATGAAGCAGCAGGAGGGGGAGGGGCATGAGGGGTAGGAGAGGGAGGAGGGGGAGGACGAGGACGAGGAGGAGGAGGAGGAGGAGGAGGAGGAGGAGGAGCAGGAGGAGGGGGAGGAGGAGGAGGAGGAGGAGGAGGAGGTGGAGGAGGAGGAGAATGAAGCGGGGGGAAGGGGGACGACGGCGTGGACGAGGACGAGGAGGACGAGGAGGAGGACTATGTTTTGGGGGGGCCTGGCCACACGCGCACTGCTGCTCAGGCCAGGGCTCGAGGGTCAAACTCGCACCGAGGGGAACCCGGCGCGGCAGGTGAGCTTAACACTGCTGGGTGCCACTGGCCTCTTGTGGGTCGGGTCCAGGAGACCGCGCTCGTCGAGGAGGCCAACATGCACGTTGATATCCCGGTGGAGGACCCGCAGGATCGACAGGGTGCTCGCGAAATCCGAAGTCTGCCGCGGACCACTCAGGTTCTCACCGGCGGCCCCCAGAAACGCTGCCAGGCGCATCGCTCCGACAGCGACATAATAACTGCACAAAACGTCTGTTCCAAGAAGGAGCAGCACGTTCCAAAACCAATCTGGGTCATTCGGGAAACATCTCCGAGAAACGTTGAAGCTGCGAACCTCTTTGGGCGAAACACGCTACGCCTACATGGGTGCCGCTTCCAGGAGATCTCGTAACATCTAGAACACATATCCAGGCGAAATGCCCAACCATATGCAGTTATGGGTGCCGTGTTGTGGGTCCATCTTTCGACCGGTCTCCTATGGGGCCACCAACTCGGGATATCCACGCCCGACTCTCGGGGCCGATCGGTTCTTTCTCCCGCCCTCCCCCTCCTCCTCCTCCTCCTCCTCCTCCTCCTCCTCCTCCTCCTCCTCCTCCTATTCCTCCTCCTCCGGTGTGCCGTGGAGCTCCCTACGGGGCCGGATGTACCGGAAAGGGTGCGGCGCCGCCATGCAACCCCTGCCACTGGAGCCTTTTGTGGAGAGCATCCTATGGGGCTACGATCCTCGTGAGAGGTGTACCTCGATGGGTGCGGCGCCGCAGTGCGACCCCTGCCACGGGATCCTCCTGTCAAGCTCCCTACGAAGCCACGATCCTCGCGAGGGGTGTGCCGAAATGTGCGCGGCGCCGTCATGCAAACCCTGCTGCTGGAGCCTTCCGTGGAGCTCCGTGCGGGATCCTCGTGAGGGGTGTGCTGAAATTGGTGCGGCGTTGCCATGCACCCCCTGCCGTTGGAGCCTTTTGTGGACCTCTCTACGGGGTCACGATCCTCGTGAGAGGTGCACCTAAATGAGCGAGGCGCCGTCATGCAACCCCTGCCACCGGAGCCTCCTGTCAAGCTCCCTACGGGGCCACGATCCTCATGAGGGGTGTACCGAAATTTGCGCGGCGCCGCCATGCAACCCCTGCCATGGGATCCTTCTGTGAAAGTCCCTACGGGGCCGCGATCCTCGTGAGTATGGGTGCGACGCCGCCATTCAACCCCTGCCACTGGAGCCTTCTATGGAGCTCCCTACGGGGCAACGATCCTTGTGAGGGCCTTGCCGTATTGATGATGATGATGATGATGATGATGATGAGGAGGAGGAGGAGGAGGATGATGATGATGGTGATGACGGTGATGATGATGACGATGATGATGATGATGATGATGAGGAGGAGGAGGAGGATAATGGTGATGATGGTGGTGCGTGCGAAGAGCAAAGACAGGGAAGAGAAGAGACGAGGAGGAACAGGAGGAGAAGGAGGAGGAGGAGGAAAAAGGAGGAAGAAGGAGGAGGGACGCAGGACGAGGTCTCATGAAAAACGCAGACTCAACACCACAGGATGGTTGGGAACAAACAGGCTCCAACCCACCAGCTGGGCGTTTTTCGATCGGCCTTCGCGACCCCCTCGGGGCGGATGGTTTTCGGCGACGAACGCTGCACCAGTCCCGGAAGTGCGAATTGACAAAATCCCCTCCGTGATGTCAGGCCAGCTCGTGGCGGCATTCACACTCAGGAGCTCGCGATCACAGGATCGGGAACTGTGGCGCATCCTACTGGGTGCGGCGCATCTCAGGGTTCAAGACTTTGCGCCCGGCTGGCTGGGCCAGCATGCGCCTCAGGGCCGGCAGAGAGCTGGGCGGTCGCCGCCTGACAGCAAGCGCTGGTGGTGTGGGCGCCCTGATGTTGCGCAGCTCGCCTGGCCTTCTGGGCAGCGCGCTGCGCTGCCTGCTTGATGCGGGATGCCGATTTATAAAACAAATGGGAGAGAATGATTTAGAAAATCCGCCGACCCTGTCGGCGTGTGTGAGGGGCTTCTTCGTTCGACTCGTCGTCTCCGTCGTCTCCGTTCTCCCCCTCCCAGGGCTCTCCTCCTCAAGCGCGCTACCCGAAGCGAAATTAAACGACGTCCTAGTGGAGTCGAAGGGAAGCCCCTTCCCTTTGATCCCTTCCCCGCAGGGGGGGGGGGGAGAGGGGGGGGTGGGTCCCGGGGCAGATACGACGCCCGCCGGGGCGCCCTTTCCTCGAGCGGGCACGCACGGGATGCACTTCCTCCTCCCTCCTGGTCCTCCTCCCTCTTTTCCTCCTCCTCCTCCCTCCTCCTTCCTCTCCTCTCCTCCTTCTCCTCCTCCTCCTCCTCCTCCTCCCGCAGAGGCGTCCCGGGAGCGGGCCCCGAGTCAAAATACCACCCCCCTAGGGCGCATTTTCTTCGAGCGGGCACGCCCGAGATGCACTTCTTCCTCTTTCGGGAGCACGTCCCAAGTCAGAATATCACACTCCCGGGGCGCACTTTCTTCGAGCGCGAGGGCACACAAAGGATGCCTTCCTCCTCCTCCTCCTCCTCCTCCTGCTTCTCCTCCTCCCCTCCTCCTCCTTCTCCTCCTCCTCTCCTCCCTCCTCCTCCCCCCTCCTCCTCCTCCTTCTCCTCCTCCTCCTCCTCCTCCTCGTCCTCGTCCTCCTCCCTTTCTCCTCCTCCTCCTCCTCCTCCTCCTCCTCCTCCTCCTCCTCCTCCTCCTCCTCCTCCTCCTCCTCCTCCCCCTCCCCCTCCTCCTCCTCCCACTCCTAGCCATTTCGATCAGGGTCGGCGGCACCGGCCGTCAGGCCTCTCCTATAGTTTTCTGCGATTTCTGCCTGATTTTTCTGACTGGAGGAGATCGATTTAAAACATAGTTTTCCAGCCCGCGGCCGGTTTTTTCTAATCGTCATCCAAGGCGCCGCCGCGTGAACACGACCCCCGGTCATTTATGAATCGTCATCCTCCATTACTGACCACCTCTCCGTGGCGCGGTGAGGCAGGGCCATCGAGGCCCCCGCCTTCTGCCGCGCGCTTGCGCAAAACCTGGAGCTCTACAAGCCCAGCGCCAGGAATGTCAGCATCACCTGCACCATTCCCTGTATCGAACACGTCGACCTCCTCCGCCCGCCGTGGGATCGCGACGTTCCGCACCTCCTGCAACTGGGCGCTCGCGAGGTGGAACCTCGGCGCCTCTCCAGGCCTCCTTCGGCGACCTCACGAAGGGTCCACTGCCAGCCGGTGCCTCCGCGGTCGGTGCAGCCAGGCTGCCGTGGGCACGCGGGGCGCGGCGGGGCAGCCGCTGCGCCTGCGGCGGCGCCTGCGCCGCCCGCGGGAGGCGCCGCGCCTGCATGGGGGAAGTTCGCCAGCGGCGCGCCGGCGCTGCAACGGGGGGGGGGGGGGCGTGCCCGCAGCGCCTGCGCCCTCCCCCGCGGCATTGCCGCCGCTGCCCGCAGCCTTAGAGGCCCCGCGAGCTGCCTACTTCCCAGCCTGCCCAGCTGCGCGGTGCGCGGCCTCCTCCCCAGCACGGGTATCAGCGCGAAACGTCGTCTCGTCGAAGTCCCCTTCATACTCCACAGCCTTCTTGACCTCGTCCGAAACGAGGGTGGGGAATTCCGCAGCATTGGCGTGGGCACGTTCAATACGCTCAGCCGCATCATGATCCTTGACCAGGGAGGCCAAGTTGATCTCGACTTCGCCCTGCGCGACGCTCTCTTTATTGGTCGCTGCCTCCACCGCTTTTTTCCCAAAACGTGCGTTCCTCGGCCACCGTAGTAGCCATCTCAGACGCCGTAGCTTGTGGGGGTACCCCGATCTTCTTGGGAACGACGCCCGCCGCGGCGGTCTCGAGCACCTCCGACACCGAAGGGAACTTGGTGGCCAACTCCTGCAACTGATGGGCCAGAGCAGCAACATCATTCCCTACCTAGGCTCTGCCTAGAAGGGTTCTTACTCTCTAGCTTAAAGGGGCCAGGCATTGGAAAGCGCCCCGGGCGGTTCCCCCAGTCCCCTGGGAGCGGTTCCCCCAGTCCCCTGGGAGCTTTCGCTTTAGCTTTAGCTTTAGCTTTAGCTTTAGCTTTAGCTTAGCTTTAGCTTTGGCTTAGCTTTAGCTGTCGCTTTCGATTTAGCTTTAAATTTAGCTTTAGCTTTAGCTTTAGCTTAGCTGTAACTTAGCTTTAGCTTAGCTTCATCTTAGCTTTAGCTTAGCTATAGCTTCGCTGTAGCTTCGCTGTAGCTTAGCTGTAGCTTAGCTTTAGCTTAGCTGCAGCTTAGCTGCAGCTTAGCTTTAGCTTAGCTTTAGCTTAGCTTGAGCTTAGCTTGAGCTTAACTTTAGCTTAGCGTTAGCTTAGCTTCAGCTTAGCGTTAGTTTAGCTTTAGCTTAGCTTTAGCTTAGATCTGCCTTAGCTTTAGCTTAGCTTTAGCTTCGCTTTAGCTCTGCTGTAGCTTAGCTTTCGTTTAGCTTTAGCTTAGCTTTAGCTTAGCTTTAGTTTAGCTTTGGCGTAGCTTTAGTTTAGCTTTACCTTAGTTTTAGCTTAGCTTTAGCTTAGCCTTACTGTTACTACACATGCTGGTTTCCTAGGGGTTCCAACTCCTAGGTAGGGTCGCACTGGGATAATCATGGCACGCTCTGGACTGGGACGCAGGGCAATGGCCACCGCTAGACCCATCACCATCGCTATAGGCACCACCACACTTGCTGCACGAACACATCCCACGCTTAGGTCGGGCCTGTCCCCCTTCAGGGGGATTTTGGACGCCAAACAACAAATTCTTTCAACTGGCCTCAAATTGCCAAACAATGCCCCCAAGAAATAGTCCCCATACTATTTTGTTTGACTACTTCTGAATATTCCTCCTGTAGAAGGACAGGCCCGACTTAATCCCACGCTCACCACACTCCCTGTGGTCGCAGGCAGAGCACGCGGAATGCTGCTGACGACGCTGGGCACGCCACTGGCTGCCTCCGTCAAAACACACGAACTCCACGATCGTTTCTTGTGCCGGGGCGCCTCGCGGCGCCACGACAAAACACGTATCTGCTCCGACGGGAGCTCACTTAAACAGTCTTGGCCGATCGTGGGCGAAAAGCCCCCCAAAATTGCCACAAATAGGTAAACAAAATCGTCCCCTGACTATTTTGAAACAATTCTCAGTATTCCTCCTGTAGAGGGACAGGCCCGACCTAAGCCTAGCTCTGAACCATGTCTCGACCCTTCCAAAAATGTTCCCGCGAGCCCTCCGGGCTCCGCCGACCCCCCCCCCACGCAGCGGCTGGGACTCCCCGTCCCGCTGGCCCGCTGGGTCTCGACGGTCGACCGAGATGGCCCAAGATGGCATCCAATGGACGCGCAGAAACATACTAATACTATATGTTCTCCTTGGAGGTGCGCGTCCGACACGAACATATAGTATACCCATCTTGTAGTATATCGTTTCCCGAGCGGTGTGGCCCGAAAGCGCCCACCACGACGCATATACTATCAGTTCTCGGTGTGCACGTCGCCCCTGGGGGGGGCGACGCACACATAGTATAAGTATGTTTGGGTGACGCCGACTAGCGTCTGTTGCATAAAGAACGCGGATTACAAGTATCCGTGCTCTGACACCGTCAAAAGGTATCTTGAGCCAAAATGGCTACGCATGAGGAGGTGGGCGACGACGACGTTGACAAAAGCGGAGGGAGGGGGCTAGCGAATCAGCTCACGTGGTCGGTTTTTCCCCGTGCCTCCCGAGCGCCGGAGGCGCCAACTGATCGAGGACTGCGACTGGCGCCCGGCCCGAACTTAGCCGCGTGCAGCCGTGTCCTTGGCCCTCGCCCTTTTCTCCCTATCCCCCCCTTGCGTCCGACCTGAGCTCCGCCTGCTGCAGTAAGGCCGTTATGAATGCACGAAGCGGTGATCGTGCTGGTAATCTCGCGGTGAAGACCACGATGATGGGTGGCATGATCGCGAGACTGCGTGCGATGGATCAGGTCTGTCGCTATTTGACAATCGCATCTGCGCAGAAGGATTGCAAGGATCGGAAACAGACTAGCCAGGTTCTGTTCACAAGTGTGCAGGCGATTGTCTTGAATCAACACGTGACGAGACATGGTCGGACTGTCTACGTCACAGAGAGCGCGTCCAACAAACATTTCATACGGAAGTACTGCCTAATGCTGCGTTTGCCGGGGCGATCTTCTGTCAGATAAAAGCTGAGCAATCGAAGCGACCAGACGTTGCCCGGGCAAGATGGACCAGCTCTTCTCGCCCGGACAAGAACAAGCATCAGCAGACACCATCAGGTTGAAATATGTCGACTCGACGTGCGTCCACCGACTTCACCAGGGTAGGCTAGACTGCTGCCCCCTACGACCGCCCGCATCCCACCGCACTTCACAGCAACAACTTCCAGCATGCTGTCGAGCCCTGCCGGCGAGGGGCTGTACGCCGTGGCCGCCAGGATTCTCAACATCCTCGATCGCCGGAGTCAGACTTGACACCGCCTCGCCTGGCACCACTGGGGAAGGGGCTCGGCGGGCTCACGGCAAGCGACGCGTGGCGCGCATCACCTCCCCGCAAACCGAACATGCCGAACGCGAGGAGGTGGAGGAGGAGGAGGAGGAGGAAGAGGAGGAGCAGGGGAGAGGAGCATGGGACGCAGGAGGCGGACGGCGAGGAGGGGGACGGCCCCAGAGCACGTGACGAAGCAGCCCCCCGTCCGGGGGCAAGAGTGTCCAGGAGAGATCCGCGCTCCTCGAGGATGAAGGGCAACGATACAGGGCAGTTTTTAATACATCGGATGTTTTTAAACATGCGGTTTTTAATACTTGATTCATGCACAGATTTATGCATGAACTCCTCGTGGTTTTTAATACCAAATCCCTGCATTTGTTATACATGATCCGCTCGCGGAGCATGAATTAAAAACGACACTGTAGGGGGGGCACTGGCATAGAGGGGGGATGCATCGACCTGGAATCGGCGATACATCGCCGATAGATCGTGCAGGTTGGGGCGATCGGGCTCCTATCGGCGATCAATGGGTGATTCGGGGTCCATGCATCCCCCCCTATGCCTGTCCCCCCCTATCGTTGCCCCCGAGAGGAAGCTCCCTTCCACCCCACAGCACCTCAGCCTCTCAGGAGCGCCTCGAGACCAGATTAACGCTACGATCAGGTCGGGCGTGTCGTCCTACAGGTGGATTTTGGACGAAGGATAAAACATAGCCAAAACATGCACACACATATTCAACAAATGATCAAAACATCGTCCCCAGACTATTCGTGGGCTATTTTTGAATATTCCTCCTGTAGATGGACAGGCCCGACTTGTCGGCGGTGGGCAGACCTCCCTTTAGTAAACCTCCCCGTAGTGAAAACGGCCTGGGACCGAAACCGACGGACCTGGACCCGCAAAAACAACGACCGTGACGCCCCCTCGCGAGCCGAAAACGGCCAATTCCTGAAACCGACGTGTCAGGGTAGGAGGTCTGTCCACCCCAGAAAACTCGGGAGCGGCCAAGAGGGGGGTGTTCAAGAGGAAGGGGTGCAAATCATAGCCAGCGGCGAGGTGGGGGACGACGACGACGACGAGGAGGATGGACAGGCCCGATTTCACGCCACGACGAGGTGGGGGAGCGACGACGACGACGCGGAGGACCAGAAGCCCGCGGTCGGCCCCCCGATGGGGGCGGCGCGCGCCGGGGCCGCGGCCATCAGCGGCGTGTCCCTCTGGTGGTCCTCCTGGCGGGCGCGCCCGCGCCGGGCGGGGCAGCTCGGGCCACGCGGCGCCAGCTCCGAGGCGTATGCCGAGCTTCTCCATGCAGTCGGGGCGTTGACCTAAGGAACCCCAAATCAGGAAAACGAGGCCCCTTTTTTTCCACAAGTCAGCCTTCGATTTCCGGTCGAAGACATAAGGGAAGCCTGAGGCAAGCCGTGAAACACTTAAGGAACGCGGAGACGAAGAGGGTTCCTTCTTCAGGGCCCCGACTGTAAGCGTCGGGGGGGCGTCGCCACCGCCGGCAGCCCCACACCGACCCCCGTCGCGGGAAGCCACCACGCGCCGAAGGCTCTCCGACCCCCGTCGCGGCGCGGCGGCGAGGCGAGGTTGACCCCCGTCGGGGGGGTACCCCCCCAACGCTTATCAAGAAACTCGAAGTAGATCGGGCATGTCCTCCTACAGGCGGATCTTGGACGAAAAGAAGCAAAATACGCCCAACATGTGCAAACATAGCCGAACATACCAAAACAGAACTCGTCCCCAGACTATTCCTGGACTGTTCTTGAGCACCCCTCCTGTAGAGGGACAGGCCCGACGTCATCCGAGGCCCCGGAGGCGCGGTCGGGAACTTTTTGGCTCCACGTGTCGCGGCGGCGGCCCCGGCGGCACGCCGTCGTGCCCGCGGAGCGGACACTGGGGCGTCGCTCCGCTCCGCGGGGCGAGGGGCCGGGAAAAAGGCTCGCGGCTGACGGCCGGGGGCCCCGGAGATCCCGGCGCCGCAAGTTTTTTACACAACAGGGGCCGTTGTTGCATTTTTTTCACAACAGGGAGATCTAACAATTGCAATTGTTGCAGCTGTTTGACTCCATTCGGGACCTGGGGCCCTCACGGAGCGATCCGGCTGAAAATTTTCACGCGGGAAGATGGGGTCCGGGGCTCCGGGCGTGGTTCTTTGCGAGGTTGCCACTTCTTGGCAGCGTCGGATCTCAGGGGCTGGGGGCACGCTTGGCGTGTCGCGCCGAAGCGCGGCGGGCCAAGCCGAGCGGAGCGGCGCGCTGAGCCAGAGTTGCTGGCCGCAGGCACGTCGCTCGCGCCCACCCCTGCCCCCGGCCTGCCCCCGCTCCACAGCTGCTCGATCTGGGCACTGCTCTCCCACCCTCTCCCCCGCGCGCGTCCTGGAAGAAGTGTCCCGCCCTCTCCGTGCCATGCCTTCTACACACAGGGCCTGAAACATGTTTTGGGTTTGTTCCACTCGGCGGTGGACAAACCTCCCTTTAGTAAACCTCCCCTTAGTGACAACGGCCTGGGACCGAAACCGACGGACCTGGAGCCCCCAAAAATCACGGCCGCGACGCCCTCTCGCGAATCGAAAACGGCCAATTCACTAATCGATGTGCCAGGGTAGGAGGTCTGTCCACCCCCCATCCATCGGAACCATGGCTTCGGTGTTTCAGCACGGTGCTCCCGCTGCAGCGAAGGCCTCATTTCAGGATCGGCGTTTCGATCCCGTCGTGCGAAGTGGCGCTCTCGCCCCGGCGCGGGCCACACTGCCGGCTCCGAGTCCCTCCTCCTCGTTGTCGCCCCCCCCTCCTTTCCCCTCCTCCGCCCTCCCCTGGGGTCATCCTGCTCCCCCCGCCCCTCCCTCTCCTGCTTCTGCTGCTGCTCTTCCTTCCCGTCCTCCTCCTCTTGCCTCCTCCTCCTTTTCCTTCTGCTCATCCGCAGCCACCTCCTCCCCATCAAATGTACACAGCCCCCCATGTCTCCTGGCTGCGCATCGAGTGGCGGGGCCTTTTTGGGGGCTTCCAGGTCTGCTGTGGCACCCGTTGGAAGACAGAGAGCAAGTGGCGCTATGGGATGGAATGGAAAGTAGGTCAGATATGGCGCGAGCGCACAAGCGCACACAGCCTGCACACATTCACACTATGACAACTACTCCCCTCTCTGAAAACGGCCGCCCCCCTCCGTGGCCAGAAGCCGAAATCACATGAGCCGGAGGTGGCCGCCCCCCTCCGCAGTGTGTTTTTCCCCCCAAGCCACTCCTTGGTTGGGCTCTCGTTTAGCATACAGCAATGGGATCGCCGTCGCCCCTCTTCTTCTCCGTCTCCTCCTTCCCCCGCTCTCCTCTCGGCTCTCTCCTCTCGCATCCCTCTTGGGGGCTGCGAGGTGTGAAACTGTAGCCACTTTCGAGAGCTGCTGGGGGAGTCAACGCTGTGGGTCACACGCAGGCCCAAACGGGACCTCACCATCCCTGGGGGGGCTGCGAAGTGTGAAACTGTCCTCACTTTCGAGGGCTCCTGGGGGGGCCACCGCTGTGGGGTCCCACGCAGATCCAAACGGGACCTCGCCATCCCTGGGGGGCTGCGAAGTGTGAAACTGTAGCCACTTTCGGGGGCTGCTTGGGGAGCCAGCACAGTGGGGTCCCACGCAACCCCCAACTGGACCTCGCCATCCCTGGGGGTGCTGCGAGGTGTGAAACTGTAGCCACTTTCGGGGGCTCCTGAGGGGGCCAGCACTGTGGGGTCCACGCAGATCCAAACGGGACCTCGCCATCCTGGGGGGGCTGCGAAGTGTGAACCTGTCCTCACTTTCGACGGCTCCTAGGGGGGCCAGCACTGTGGGGTCCCACGCAGATCCATACGGGACCTCACCATCCCTGGGGGGCTGCGAAGTGTGACATTGTCTCCACTTCGAGGGCTGCTGGGTGACCCAGCACAATGGGGTCCCACGCAGATCCTAACAGGACCTCGCCATCCCTGGGGGGCTGCGAAGTGTGAAACTGTCCTCACTTTCGAGGGCTCTTGGGGGGGCCACCGCTGTGGGCCCCCACGCAGATCCAAACGGGACCTCGCCATCCATGGGGGGCTGCGAAGTGTGAAACTGTCGCCACTTTCGGGGGCTGCTTGGGGAGCCAGCGCTGTGGGGTCCCACGCAGATCCAAACGGGACCTCGCAATCCCTGGGCAAATCAAAACGGGAACTCGCAATTCTAGTGTGAAGCTGTCGCCACTTTCGGGGGCTTCTGGGCGAGTGAGCAGTGGGCCCCCACGCAGACCCAAACGGGACCTCGCCATCCCTGTGGGGGCCGCGAGGTGTGAAACTGTCGCCACTTTTGACAGCTGCTGGGGGAGTCAGCGCACCGGGGCCCCACGCAGACCCAAACGGCACCTCGCCATCCCCCTGGCGCGCGGCGCGCACCGTGGTCGGCACCGGAGGCGCCGCCAGGGGGGCCCAGGCGCCAGCCCAAGAAATCAGCGCGGGGCTCCGAACGTTTATGTGTCTGTGGCTGCCTCTGCTGCGACCATTACCCATCGGTCGGAAGAAGTAGGTAGAAACATAAAGTAGGAAGGCGTTTGAAATAGATTGGGTTTCCGCCCGCCTCCTGAAGAGGCGGCGGCGGCGGACGGTGGAATGAGCGTTCAAGCCGTTCTCTCTAAGCACCAATTGGAAAAACCCCCCGAGGAGCTTTACACCAACAGGGCTCTGGAAGAAACTCTGGTCTCCTCGTGGGGCCAGAGAATCGAAGAAAAGGACCAAGGGGCCAAGCGGCGTCTGCGCCGCTCCTTGGCCTCAGCTCGATTCCGTCTGATGCGTTCGAGCTGTGCCGACGAAAGGGTCGGTGGGGGGGGAGGGGGAGCAGGAAGGAAAAAGGAGGGGGGAACCCCGTCCTCGGGGTCAGAGGGCGGCCCGGCCTCGTTGGGCGGGTCGACGGGCGTCGCTGCCGGCTCCGCGGCTGGAGAGTCCTGCGGCGGAAACCGAGGATCCTCGGCAGGGGAGGGGGGAGAGGAGGGAGGCCGCCAGCGGCTGGATTCAGGATCACCACGCTTCCTGGAAGTCGCGGTGGGTCGGGCGAAATCTGGGGCCTCCCAGAACTCGACGCCAGGATCCCAAGGAATGTGAAATTCACGCAGACAGCAGGTGTCGGAGGGGGTGGGGTCCTGATCCCATGGGTCGCCTTCATACGTAGCAGTAACAATGGCATCCGTCATGGCCGTAGCTATAGCTGTACACATCCGAGTCGGGTAGGTCTTCTTCGCACTGGTTTTGAAGCTGAGGTCCTCGTTTTTGCCGAGAAGCGTTTTATGTACACCCTTGCCGTGATTGCATTTGCCGTTGTTGCAAGCCGTAAGTTTGCCGTGCAAAGTGGGAAGACGGAGCGACATGATCCTCGTCGGGGCACGGCCGACTGTAGCCGGATCTGCATCATTGAGGGTGCACTGGTCGAAATCCGTCGTAGCAACAATGGGACAGCATTCCAGAGAACGGAGAGGCATCCACGCAAAACTTGAAACTGCCTGGCCTCTCCACCAAGCGGGTGCTGGGTGCTCCATCCACCCGCACGTCCCTGCTCTGATGTGTTCGGCGAGCAGAAGCACAAGACATTGCAGGAGCTTGTTACCTACTTCGAGCTGCTGTGCCTGGGTCGGAGAGGCCCACGGAACACCCCAGAAATACTCGGCAGTCCTGAGTGGGGGGGGCCCCCCCTCCAGCCATCTAGCTGGGCACCAGGTCTCGCAGGGGGGTCCCCCCCCTGAAGCCCAGACTCGGCGAGCTCTGATGTGGCCTGCCCATTCGTCTATTGTAGCTTGACGGGTCATATCACAGCGTATGTTGTCAATGGATATGTCGATAGACAGTGTGACAATGTGAATATCTTGACCGTATTCGGCATTGTCGATGTTGTGTTGAATATCGCCCTGACGACGACGACCACAAAATAGGTTTAGTATGTAGACCTCACGTCGCTGCACACGCCACGGCACCTGTTGGGTGGCCAGATGTTGAAAGTCCTGCGGGCGGAAAAGATAATGTCTGTCCGAGAATTGGGCCTCTGGTGGTTCATCTGGATCGTTCTGAACTCTGGGGGGGCGCCAGATCTCCTCCAGGGTCTCTTGGGCCTCGGGGGTAAGCTCGTAGAAGGCACCTCTGAGGAGCTCTTTGGCTTCGTCCTCATCGTATAGGGCAAAGACTTCGGCTGCTTCCCAAATCAGACCGTCGTCGCATACCGTAGTGGTTGCTGGGTAGGCTG